ACAGTGAATACAAATGGTTCCGTGTCAGTGGCTTTAGGTTGGGGAAAATACAGGTTATATTTGTGACACAATTGCAACATTTCAAAAATATGTTTTCCTAATGTTTCCTCAGGTGATGACGATGCACATGTCTCATGCTGTGGAGGAACTTGTGAGAAAAATGCCTTTAGACATGGAGAAGGAGAAAGCCATGTTAGTGATATCAATGGCTTTGACGAAGAAAGTAGTAAATAGCGTGCCTTCTCTTCTAGTGCAAGTGTTCAGTACAACTGTGAATTATATCAACCAGAACCTCCGTGATTATGTGAACAACCTGGCTCCTGAGGTGACTAAAAATTAGAATGTAATGTTTAATGTATACAACCTCCCCCCCCACCCCGATCCGAAAATAGCCTTAACATTGTTTTGAAGGAAGAGTGCTGAAGAATCCTTTGTTATTTGTGGTTGTGTGGCTTGGCTGCTATCCTGTATTTTAGCAGGTAGATGCACAACCTTTTCAGTCTTTTGTACTGTGCAGATGTCCATGTCTGTGTGAATCATCTTGTCCCAATAAATACATTTTGTTAACTGTTGTCTGGGGAAATACTGTATCTGAAAAGAATTAATATACCAGATATACTCGAGTATAAGCTGAGTTTTTCAGCCCTTTTTTAGGCTGAAAAAACCCCCTTGAGTCAAAGTTATTTATTATTTTACTGGGTTATTATTTTTTTAATTACATTTATTATTTTACTCTTATTTATTGTTATTATTACATTTACATTACTTTATTATTATTATTATATTTATTATTTCGCTCTATTATTACTGTTATTATTACATTTCCATTATTTTACTCAATTATTATTATGTTTATTATTTTAATCTATTATTATTACATTTATTATTTTACACTATTATTATTATTGCATTGATTATTTCACTCTATTATTACTGTTATTACATTTCCATTATTTTACTCTATTATTATTACATTTATTATTTTTCTCCATTATTATTGTTATTACATTTACATTATTTTATTCTATTGTTGTTGTTATTTCATTTATTATTTTATCATTATTGTTTTATTACATTTATTATTATTGGAAGGGAAGGATATGCAAGCGCATTTACATTGAAGAAGGTTAGAATAATGGTTTAATCAGAGTTGGAGAGTCTTATCTTAATTTAGTTTTATGTAAATATTGAAAACATTTAACCTACTGATGCCCCAATTAATTTAATTTTATTGGTATATACAGTATATTCTGGCGTATAAGACTACTTTTTAACCCAAGAAAATCTTCTCAAAAGTCAGGGGTTGTCTTATATGCGGGTGTAGTCTTATGCATGGGAGTCGTCTTAACTCTATATTTTAACTGGAAAAGCTGGGGGTCGTCTTATACGCCCAGTCGTCTTATATGCCGGAATATACGGGTATTTTTATTTTGAAATTTTCCAGTAGCTGCTGTATTCCCCACCCTCGGCTTCTATTTGAGTCAATATGTTTTCCCAGTTTTCTTATGGTAAAATTAGGTGCCTCGGTTTACGTTTGGGTCGGCTTATACTCAAGTATACATGGTAGTTTGGGTGGACTAAACATAACTGTCTCCTTTTCCTTTTTATCTCCTAGAGCTGAACAAATTGAACACAACGCACCTACCTGCAAAAAAAAGAAAAGAAATAAAAATGATTTTTTTGTTTTTTTTAATAAGAAAATTTTTAAGTATCTTTTTAAAGAGGACTTGGCATTGTGAAGTGTTTGTGATTTTTATCAGAAGTCATATGCATTCCCCGACTCCTCCTACTTGAATGTGCCTGCTCTTTTTTTGTACCTGAAACACTTGATCCTGCTTTACATCCATCTCAGGAGGAAAATGACCAATCGACTCTTGTTCTCAGGTGCGAAGTCCTGGGTCCTATAGCAATAAGCTGCAGAAGTGAATAGGAACAATAAACATGATAGCTCTTTACCAATTCCATCAGAACACTTTGGATTCATAATGTGAATACAATCCAACTGGATATCCTTGACTCTCACACCAGTTTAATTGTACAGTGAAACACTTCTGCAAGTTACCTTGGAAAAGGCTTGAGAAGTTTAGCTTGTCTGGAGAACAGTGCAAGCTTTGCATGCTGTGGGTGCCCCAAAACCACCTGCAAGGTTCGCCCTGCAAATTCATTGGAAGTTGGATTGAAATAAATGAATTGGATGCCCAGGTACAGGGAAATTGTCGCTGGTTCAAGTAATTTACCTCTTACTGGTTTTGAGTCTTAAAAACAGGTTTTGGCTAAATTTTAAGCTGTAAAGTAGGAAGAATGGAACCTCTTCTACGGGGGCCAGATGTAAGTCTTTACCCCGTCCTTTGCAACTAGTACATCTTTTTAAAGCCAATAGAGAAGTCTGGAAATGAAAATCCGTGGATGCTTTTGACTCCCCCTTGTTTTTCTCAATGCCCAACTGTAACTCTATCTGTGGCCTTGGCTGAGAAAAGGGTTGTGATCAAATGTGAGGGAAAACAAACTGAAAGTTTTTTTTCCTAGTCTAAATGCTATATTTAGTTAGAAAATAATAATTCTTTAAGTTGAATGGGATACAACTATGCTCCGTTCCATGTTTAAGGGATTTGGTTCATGAAATAATGTTCCTATTACTCTATAAAGAAAAACTTCTGGAAGAACATGTGTGCTTGTCATAAAAGTTAGATTGAGCTGGACAGTGGGATGTGGAGAGGGACTCATCCTGACATTGAACTATGTGCACTTTTTGTCTTCCAATTTCAGCTGTTTTAAAGGTTCTTTTGTGTCAGGAGTGACTTGAGAAACTGCAAGTCACTTCTGGTGTGAGAGAATTGGCTGTCTGCAAGGACATTGTCCAGGGGACCCCTGGATGTTTTACCATCCTTGTGGGAGGCTTCTCTCATGTCCCCGCATGGGGAGCTGAAGCTGACACAGGGAGCTCATTCGCGCTCTCCCTGGATTTGAACCTCAGACCTGTCGGTCTTCATTCCTGCCAGCACATGGAGCTCTTTTGACGCCCCAAGTTGTATTCCTTGTTTACTCAATACCCATCTGTAACTCTTATCTGTGGCCTTGGCTGAGAAGGTATTACCTTCCCATGAGAGAGAGGTAGTGTGGTGTAGTGCTTTGGGTGTTGAAATACAACTCTGGAGACCAGGATTGAAATCCCTGCTCAGCCACAGAAACCCAATGAGGAAGGCATGGGCGAATCTCCAATAAATGGATGATAGATTCTCCTGAAGCTCACCATAAATCGGAAAACTTGAAAGCACATAGTAACCCACCCCACAAAGCCATGTTTTGAACCCAAGCGTTCTTGATAGCTCTCAAAAGTTCCATCAAGAGTTAAATAATTTAACAGTGGGTCCCAGTCTCACTATTGGGCCTAACTAAATTCTGGAATGATTTAAGAGTTGTTGCTCTGTTTGCACCATAAGACATAATTTGATTCTCTAGCTCAGTGGTTCTCAACCTATGGGTTCCCTGGTGTTTTGGCCTACAACTCCCAGAAATCCCATTCGGTTTACCAGCTGTTAGGATTTCTGGGAGTTGAAGGCCAAAACATCTGGGAACACATAGGTTGAGAACCACTGCTCTAGCTCTTTTTTGAGCCCTTGGTGACACAGGCTAAACTGTTGAGCTGCTGAACTTGCTGACTAAAAGTTCGGCGGTTTGAATCCAGGGAGCAGGGTGAGCTCCCGCTGTTAGCCCCAGCTCCTGCCAACCCAGCAGTTCGAAAACATGCAAATGTGAGTAGATCAATAGGCATAATTACAGCGCTCCATGCAGTCATGCCGGCCACATGATTTAGGAGGCATCTACGGACAATACCAGCTCTTTGGCTTAGAAATGGAGCACCACCACCCCAAGTCGGACACAACTAGACTTAATGTCAAGGGGAAAGCTTTACCTTTTATCTTCAGCTGTTTTTTCATGTATTAAAGGCTATACATATCTGAAACAGCAAAATACAAACAAAAATAGCCTGAATGCTGTTGATACTTCGACCTAAAATATACCCATTAATTAGATTAATAGAATGTACCTATATGTCGATTTACCATTCCTCAGATGGGATTAGCTAACAAAATTCAGGTAATTGTTCACATTTATGCAGGTGATAAAGTTGAGCTAGGTCTGTCTGTTGAATGAAAAGCAACCCCATGAATGCCATATGGCTTTCTTAGGTAAGGAATGTCAGAGAGGATTTGGACAATTCCTTCCATTAAAATATAGCCTACAGCAACTGCTGTTTGTTGGCAGTCTCCCAACCAAAGATGAACTAGAGCTGCACCTGCTTAGCCTCCAAGATCAAACATCTGGTGCCTTTATGTATATAGCCAGGCATGGGCAAACTTTGGTTCTCCAGGTGTTTTGGACTTCAACTCCCACAATTCCTAACAGCCTACTGGCTGTTAGGAATTGTGGGAGTTGTAGTCCAAAACACCTGGAGAACCAAAGTTTGCCCATGCTGATTTAGGCCTTGTGTTGAGATGGATAGCCAATCATTTAGATGGATGGCCAATCATTTGGAATAAACACTGAATTTGTTAAAGCTAGACTAGTTACCTTTTCTAGAAAGGCTGCTTTTGTCACTGAATCGGGAAAGGCAGTTCTGTTGTTTTCAGCGTAGGCTTTCAGTGTAGGCTTAATGTTTTGGCACAGCCATTTGTCATGCCTCCATTGTCTCTACTCTCCTGGTTATATCCAAGAAAGACCTAGAAGTACTTGTATCACATCAAAACTCCACACGGTTTTTCTTCAAAATTGACTTTAATAAAGTGCAACTGGGACTAAAGGCATGATCTTACAGAGCCTCCCCCACAAGGAGGGGAGAAATACATGTACCCCTTTCATTTATAAGCATAGGCGATGGGACCGGTGTTGACTCCATTTAACACTGGGAAAACGCTTTTTTCAATACCTCAAATGGCACAAAAGATTTGAGACATAATTTCTGAAAATGCCCTTGCATAATGAACTGGAGCTTGTTGAACACTTTCTGGTTTCCTTTGACAGCTACAAGCCACTTTTAAACAGTTTCATGTATTGTCGAAGGCTTTCATGGCTAGAATCACTGGGCTGTTGTAGGTTTTTTGGACTATATGGCCATGTTTTAGAAGCATTCTCTCCTGACGTTTCACCTGCATCTATGGAAAGCATCCTCAGAGGTTGTGAGGTCCTCACAACCTCTGAGGATGCTTTCCATAGATGCAGGCAAAACGTCAGGAGAGAATGCTTCTAAAACATGGCCATATAGTCTGAAAAACATACAACAACCCACTTACAGTTTACTTATTGTTGAAAATCACCTGCTTCTTTAATTTAGGAATTTAATAAAACAAGAGGTGGAGAATGTGTGGCTTTTTACCTAGACACCAACTTCAGTCAGCCATAATAAATAGCAAATGATTATGGGATCTGCAGTCCAATATGGTCACCACCATTACATAGAAGCTTGCAAGATTTTCCCCTTCAAAGTATGTGGACGTGTAAAGCATACAATGTTCTGACATTTGTGAAACCAAACTTTAAGTTCTGAAAGTGGCTTGAATTCCAGTAAGCGCAGGGGCTACATTGCTTGGGGAAACCACACTGCTTTTGTTGTAGGTTTTTTCGGGCTATATGGCTATGTTCTAGAGGCATTCTCTCCTGACATTTCGTCTGCATCTATGGCAAGCATCCTCAGAGGTTGTGAGGTCATAGATGCAGGTGAAACGTCAGGAGAGAATGCCTCTAGAACATGGCCATATAGCCCGAAAAAACCTACAACCCAGTGATTCCGGCCATTAAAGCCTTCGACAATACACTGCTTTTTGTCTTTTGCTGCAAAATGGAAAGTGCTATCTGAGCAATGTATGAAATTATGTATTGGTTCTTTATAAATCCTACATCACCAAGACAAGGTATGGATAAGACCAACTAATGCAAGCTCTCATAAGTAAAGGGATCTTGTAGCACCAGAGAAAATAAAGATGGTGGCATAACTTCAGTAGACTTAAGTTTACTTTCCTGGATGCTTTTGAACCAACACTAAATTGAGAAAAAATGACTTAAGCCAAAGCTTATGCTACCAACTTTATTCTGTTAGACTCTGCCAGATCCCTTTGCAGACTAATACTCCAGACTAACATGGCTACCTTTGAATAAGTAAGTGACTTAGAGATCGGATTGCCTACAGCAGGTAAATTAAATGGCTCTGCAGGTACTGGTAGTCTTCAGGTTCTAGAGTCTAACCTAGGCATGGGCAAACTTGGGCCCTCCAGTAGGCTGTTAGGAATTGTGGGAGTTGGAGTCCAAAACACTTGTTCCTGGAAATTATTATATTTCCAAAGCTAATTGGATTTGTGCTCCCATCCTTAGTATTTCAGAGAATCTGGAGTATCTCTATGAAAGTATTTCAGATGTGGCCTCTGAGTCCGTGTGCACAAATCCATGTTCCTTAGTCCCTCTTAGCATTGCTATGAAAACAGCCACTCTCCAGCACTTTACTGATATTTTTTTAAAAGGCTCTTGCAGTGTTGAGAGCCCTTGGAAATACTATAGTTCCTTGGTGTTCCTAGCATAGCCATGTGCCAGGCTGGACCAAGTACAGCAGGTCTCTCCCTCCCTGAGACATAGCCAGTATCCATAATGCCACACTGCTTCCAAAGGTCAGAATAAGGTGGCTTTGTAACTCGTACAGGACTGGGTGAGAAATAAGCAACTTCCCAATGTTTCTGAGGTGTAGCTTGGTTTATTTCAGAGCAGTAAGCACAAGCTTATGAGGAACACAACCAACATTATTTTAGAGGGAAATACCTAAGTGACATTTTAGCTGTTAACTACTTACCAGGTTTTCCTTCTGAAATTGTTTACTATAGAAGATGATTCTAGTGAAGGAAATGTTGTAAGAGGCTAAAAGGTTAGCATCTTATCACCAAACCTGCCAGGTAAAGAGATTTTGACACTCCAGACACTTTGGGTTTCAACATTGAATAGTGTGTCAGTATGAAAGGTTTGGAGTATTTATATGGCAGATTTTCAGTGTCTAGAATGTAGTCCTGGGATAGAATAACCTCCAGATATTTTGGACTGTAACTCTCACAACTCCTTGCCACCAGCCATGGCTTGTAGGAGATATAGGCCAAGTGTCGTCTATCTTCTAGGCATTGTTGTGCAGACCTAAATACTCCCAAGTACCAAAAACAGAAGTTAGAATTGTGGAGCCATGGAACTGCCAACATTTTTACCTATTAGTTATGCTGGCTAGAGATACTGGGAATGGCAATCCAACATTATCTGAAGAGCCACCTGAAGCTTTGCTGTAGGGGCACTTGAAAGTGTGACGTCCTTTAGTTTGCCTGCTCAAGTGAAAGGCTTTCAATGGCTGCCATCCCAAATCAGCCCAGCTTTGTGATCTTTGGTAGTTTAAAAACTATCCATATAAAAATAACATATTCATTTAAACACTCACGGGTGAAGGAAGCATGTTTTCCAGGAGGTTCCTTATTCCTTTAAGAGTATGCTGACTGGAGGTGGTTCTGAGAAACATCTCCACATCATAGTCTGGATTGTATGCACATGTGGCTTATACTGTATGCCCTTGTCTATTCAGGTTTTAATATAGAGGTGTGGACCAACCAATACATAATATGCAAAGGGCTACCCTCTAATGACAAAATGCATGCTGGAGTCCAAAACACCTGGAGGGCCCAAGTTTGCCCATGCCTGGTCTAACCAATCATTGTATTTCCAAAGCCAATTGGATTTGTGCTCCTATCCATGTTAGGTTTCAGAAATCACACTTAAGTACCTATTCCATTTCCTTCACATTGCTAACACTACAAACGATATGCTCAAGATTCATCCTAAATAATTTTTATGTTTTCAGTTCCAAACAAACTAATCATATTCCAGGCTGTGTTTGCCCTAAAAGAGTATAACCTTGAAAATGATCTTTGTCAGAGTACGTAACCCTGCTTGTACATTACCTCTGTAACAGAGTAGCCCTTCTCAGGAAAAGTGAAGCATATCTTTGATTCAAAGCATCAGCTTCAGTGTTAACACAGAAATTTACTTGAACTAACTGCACGTCTGCTTTTACATCACATAAATGGTCACTGGACACTTTAAAGAAGAGATGGAAATTTTACAACCTTCTAGAGATGTTAACCTGTGACCCTGAGCTCTCTTCGCTGCTGGGTTTGCTGGCCAGAGCTGGTGGGAGCTATGGTTCAACATCTGGGAAAGTCTAATTCTTTCATAAACCAAACCAAATTATGAAGCACAAGCACTAATAATCCATTCACATAAGGATATTTATTCTCCCAAATTCAGAAATCTATTGGGATCTGGAAGAGCCTATTTGTTCTACCTGTCCAAAACTGTGAGGAGAGGTAGGCAAGGGAAGAGGGAATCATCATCATCATCAAAGCAACAGCTCACAGCCCATGCCTTCTTTAATATGTCCTCTAACATGTCTTTTAGCATTTTGAATAATGGTGAATGTATTGTGTGGAGATAGTTGCCCACAGTGTTTCCATCCCCTAAATTGATTGATGCTTACCACCTGTTCACTTCACCCCCATATTTTACGATGCCTTTTAGGTAGGCGAGTCCCTTGTAGTGCAGGAGGTTAAACTGCTGAACTAGCTGACTGAAAGGTTAGCGGTCTGAATCCGAAGAGCGGAGTGCGTATCCCCACCTTCTGACAAATCAGCAGTTTTAAAACATGCAAATGTGAGTAGATCAATAGGTACCGCTTTGGTGGGACAGTAACGATGCTCCATGCAGTCATGCAGGCCACATGACCTTGGAGACGTTCTATGGACAACACTAGCTCTTCAGCTTAGAAATGGAGATGAGCACCACCTCCCAGAGTCAGACACAACTAGGCTTAATGTCAGGGGAAAACCTTTCCTTTAGGTAAGTAGGAATACTCTAATGAAAGAAGTCAAGAGCAGTAGTTTATTTCACTGGATGTTGATTCTCATATGCCATTGTTCAAGATGGTATGCAACGAACAAGAGTTTTACTAAGTGTTCAGAGTCAGTTCCACAAATTTCTGCTTTCTGCTGGCTCTAACAAGCCTACAGAGAAGACCTTTCTCACCTAGTATGCTGTCACAAGAATCTGATACTAGCAACCCCTAAAATGCAGAAAATTGCAGATGGCGGCCACAGTGTGTGAGCTCAAGAGAGTCAGCAAGTGCTAGAAAAAACTTTTTCAATTGTGCTCATATCAAAACCCTTTCTCCAGCATGATAACTGCTCTCCTTTTCCACAAGCAATTCCAGACCTGCAGCTGGAGAGTACTCATTCTTGGGCAGTAGGTCTACAAAAGAGAGAGGATAAATATAAAAAATGAAAACAGGTTGAAGCCCACTGGAATACACTGAGGCACTTTATTCTGTAAAATGGATAACAAACACCACTAAAAATGGCAAATTACCTATCTAGCAACCCCCAGTTACCATGGCAACATCCTCATCCAACTGAATCAAAGCAAAGATTCCCATATGTCTCTTCTAGACATTAGATTTTAAAGGTGCATGTGAAAAGCAGGATAAAGAAAGTATGCTAAATGGCGCAAGTACACATCTGCAGAAACCACGCCTCACGTGTATATTCAAGAGAGATGGAGATGACACAAGTTCCCAGTCAAATGTACAGCTGATAATAAAGCCAAATTTGCTATCATGAAATATGCACCTGCTTTGATAGGACATGAATAGGCGAGTTCCCGGCCCTTAAAAGGAGGGACCCCTGCTGTCATATCCAGAACTGTGAGAACTAAACCCTTATTTCTCCTGTTCAAGAGCTAACACAGACTACAATGGCCCTTAATCTCCTCCCAGATTTCCAGATGTCCCAAATAATCCTGAGTATAAAGACTGCCAGTTTCAGGCTAAACACAGAACCAGCAACTAAGAATATAGGTTTGGAACAACTTCACTGCCAAAAAAACAAAACATACAAATGAGTATCTACTTAACATTGCCTACCTATGGTTGTGTCACTTGCGCAGTAAAACAATTGGAAGTGGTTCCAAGTCAAAGCTTCTATAACAGGGATTGGCAACTCTGGAGCATCCACCCCATTTGACGTACCTCCAAATCCCTTGCCCTCTGCTGAAATCAGCACTCACAGGGATTCACTTTCCAATGCAAAAATAGACAAAAAAGGAAGTGGGAGGGATTGAAATGTGATTTAATGGAAGTATATCATGCTTTCTGGGGACTTCTCAAAGTGCCATTCCCTATTTTGCCTCATCCATCAAATGAGCCTTTGGGATCTTGGCTGGCCACACAATGGCCACTGGGCTACACAACCCCTTAAATCTGCCCCTTAAACCTGTGCTAAGGAAGTACATTCTATCTATTAGAAAATGTCTAAAATGCATCAAGGCTGGACTTGTTTCTTTTTAATTAAGAAGGGGAATCTCATTAAACTTTTTATAGATGTTGCAAGTAGAGTCAACACCATGAAGATGTGTGCTGATGCCCAAACATTGCTTCAAGCATATAATAGTTGTTTATACAGACACTGGAGACAACTCAAGTCATCACAGTCACATTTGAGCATATATGTAATGATTCAAACTGGTTCTTACTGTATTTACATGAGTGGAAAGCTGGAATCACAGCAGAGAAGCTGAAAAGTTTCCTGATCATCTGATCTACAGAAAGTAACCAGAAAAGGCAACTATGGCAAGGAGAAAAGATAAAAACACTATTCTACATTTTCACATTCCTAAAGAGAAACATATAGGATTGGATCCAGTTGCTGTTTGGGATAATCATATCCATATTTGGGGAACAGGCATTATGGACACAATTCAGTCTCACTTTGAAGAAGACTGAACGGAAGAGATGATATATCTTTTAGAATTGGAAGACAACAGTTGTTAGACTGTAGACCCCATTATCCCTCACTACTGGCAATGCTAGCTAGGGCTGATGGGTGCTGCAGTTACAGCTGAAAGATACATGTTCCACAACTTTGCAAATTTGGGATAGGTTAATTGGTTTTCACTTTAACCGATTATTCCCAAGTATACCCAAAATCCAAACATTAACTAAAGCAATCCTTTGAAAAATAGAGAAGTGTTTCTACACCATAGATCTGAAGTAGACAAAAAGTTGCAATATTCAGATTTAATCCCCAGTGTATTGTGCTGCAGGGATTTCTTTTACTTTTCCCTGGGCCCAAATATAGTGAACTTTCAGCACTTAATAATTATCTGGCAAGTTACATGCATTGTGCAAAATTATTACCTTTCAGATCACCATAATTCCAAGCAAACAACTGGAAAGTACAGCATAATGCTGTTCCAGGTTCAACTACTTGACAATCAGTTTCTTGAAATCTTTGTATCTGGCTTGGTAGTCAATGGTCCAAGTCAATTTAAGGCTAAGTTCATTTTACCTTTGAACATATGCAAAAATAAACCAGAGAAGAGATGGACAAAGCAGGTGCTGGAATTTGTATTTGACAATAGTTTTTGTTTATGAAGGCTTGATAATAATATTTCCATCTTCATCAAAATGAGATAGGTATCTATATCGAAGGAGTGTGTCTCTGATAACTGAACTGATAAAGGAAAACATGATGAACTAAAAGAACGGGAAGAGAAAATCATAGCAATGGCAAATGTTTATATGGATCATCAAAGAACATTACTCCTCCCCAAAATATTTTCACCCATAGCTGGGAGACTATTGCTTTCTCCGCGCAACACTACAGAGCTTTCAAAATGTGAATTAAAGGAAGACAGTGTCTGGGAAGCAGAAAAGATGTAAAGCAGAGAGGTATTGAACAAGCACTACCCCGTGGGGCCTGGAAGGGACCTGGGAAGTCATCCAAAGGAGCAGTGCAATACCTGAGGAAACAGAGACAACGGGGGACCAGCCTCATGCTACAGGGTTGAATATCCTCTCATTCAGGAAGGGAAGAGGGAATCAAGAAACTGCAACAGCAGCCATGGAAGGGAAAGCTCCAGTGGGTAACCAACACTACCGTTTCTCCTGGAATTTTCTTTTCCGATGTTCAGTGTATGAGCACTCCCCCATTTCTCAGTTATACTTAGATATTTCAATGTGCAGGGGTTTTCAAAAGGATACCCCTACGTGGTAAAAGGAAGATCCAAGCCCAGTCCATTAAAAGCATGATTGTCCCCAGGCTCAGCCATATTGTGTACCCTTGATCCATCACCCTTTTAAGTTACATAAATTTCCCATGAACAGCAGGCACCACAACCTTCAGTCAATGCAGCTAAGTGTAGATCCAGATGCTATCCTCCTTGCAGGGAGGAGGTCACTACTTCTTCCTCAGGGCCAACGCAACACCCACCGCTACGGCCAAGATGGCCACAGCAGCCGCCCCACCATACAGCAGAATGGATTTGCCCTCTGGCAAGAGGATGGGCTTCTCCTCTTCATCAGGGGATTTTCCCTTCTCTTCGGAATGGCTCTCCTTGCTGGCTTTGGCTGCTTCTTCTGAAAGCAGTATCCTCTCGGATTTTGGAGCAGCCTGTTCTTCTGCAGAAGTTAGTATTGGGACAGGTTTGCTCAGTAGCAGAGATTCTGGTTCAGGTGGTTCCAACACTTTGCTCTCTTGCTGGGGCTCAGCAAGCGGAGGCGCAGAGGGGCTTGGCTTTTTAACTGGCACAGTTTCGGCCTCTGGTTCCCCCTTCAGCAATGCAGCTGGAGTTTCTGAGGAAACCAGTTTCATAGGGTCAGTCTGCAGACCCGCTTCTGACCCTGCCGTTTCCTCGACTCCCTCTGGTATCTCCTCTTTTTCGACATGCACAATATCAGAGTTTGAAGAGTTATTTTCACTCCTTTCTTCTCCACCTCCATTACTGTCTAAACTCTTCACTTCTTCGGGATCCATAGCTACTTGTTGCCACGACTCAGGACCTAAAGATACTGGCAAGCTTTCTGTGTGCCAGCTCTGGCTGGCTGACAGCGAAACGGGTAAGCTCTCTGACTGCCAAGACGTTGTCACTGTGGGCGATTCAGGAGGGCTCACCTGGCCTGAGTTGTCACTAGTTAGGATGTAGATGTCATTGCTATCTTCGGCAATGATCCCATGGTACTCTTCCTCTTCAGAATCCAAACTAAAAACAGTACCCTGAAAGAAAGACACAATGAGTCAGGAAAGAGGAAGAACCTACACCCAAGTAACAGCTATGGGAAAATCCGAAATACCATCTTTTTATAGAAAAGTACTGCATCATCAGAGATAGCTTTAATTTTTAACTGCAAGAGTGCTAAAAGTAAATGACTGCTACATAACATATGGTGTGAATTAAAATTATAGTAGAGAAGCAAACTGACAAAATATGGAATAATTTTAGAACTATAATTTAATTATATACAAAACGTTATTGTAATATCTAAACGTAAAATAGCGTACAGGCCGGGCTGCTATTCCTTTTACTTCAGTGTCAAGTCTAGTCATCTATGTGACTGGATTTATTATCCAAGCATATTTTCACATTATTTGCATTTAAAGAGATTTGCTGGACACTATGTCTAGTCACATGCTAAACTTAATGGATTACTCACTCAGAGACTCTAATGCACACCCAGAGATAGATGTTTCATAACTAAATGCTGTACCCATAACATATTTATACAATAACTCATTATCTAAATATTTTAGTTCAAAGAGAGGCAGGACATTTTGTGTCTGAACTGCATGACAAGTATTCAGAATATCAAATGCACAAACCAGAGAATTTCTATTATTTTAGGAGAGCAAAACTGAGTACAAACTAGGAGAATTATGTTTGGATATCTGCAGATGTGTAAAAAGCAACTAACTAAAAAAATTATGATCAAATAGGAGATGGGAACATAGTCCTAAACAGAGCCATCAAATATTAAGCTATATACTCAATTGCTGTACTATGTCTGTTGATCCCTAGCGTTATTGTTATATATTATTATTAATATTATTATTAGTATTAATAATATTATTATTTTACTGACACAAAAACACAGTATGTCACAGAAAACGAGATATATATGCTGGATTTGTTATTGTTGTTGATGTTATTATTATTACCCCCCCCCCCCAAATACTCCAAAATGCCCACAAATCGCCTCCAAACCCAGGAGATGCTTAAAGTTGGAAAAACATTTCAGAATATATGTTTCTTGGGTATTATAAGCCACAGACTCATTCATCTTGGAAATATATTTAGACTTCCCAGACCGGCAGGAATGTAACAAGAAAACAAACGATCACTTTTGAGATGGCAGATAGAACATTAACACTCAAAGCCAGTACATGACAAAATGCCTGCACATTTGCCATAAGGCATCTATTTTCCACTTGTGAAGTCACTATATAAGCATGCTTCAACAAGCCTCTTGTGGTGAAGAAAGAGAACACAATCAAATAATTACATATATTTATATATCACTGCAACGATGCTACCATAAAAATCGCACACACTTTTTGGGTGGATGTCAATAACAAAGAATCAGCGTCTGAAGCGCATCAAAGAGACGCAGACAGGAACAATTTCTCTGTTACTAAGAGTCTGTTACTTGTTTCTACTTGTGGTCACAACATTATTCTCACCCCTCTTAAAAGTTCACAACTTCTTCTATTTAAATGAATGCAACTTAAACAACTCATGATGGCAGTATGAGATGAAGTCAAGCTGCACAGAGGACCTAGCTTTTCAACCAGAGCAGGACCACTCAGGCAAAGCTCCCAGAGCTTTTGCTGAAAGTAGCCTTTCAGGTCTATCCATCTGCACTAATGGAATGTGGCACATGGAGAAGGCTGCATCAGAGGTTGGACGGCTGCCACACAGAAAGTAATTACTCAGTAAATCCCCACCCACCCACCCTCTGTGCTGATCAAGCTGTCTCACAGGCTCAGTGGATTGACAATGGAAAGTACATATTATTCTCTCATGAAATTCCCATTCCTCGGACATCTACGTGATGCCTGGCTGGGCTACCTTAATTCATCTTTTCTAAAGCAGAAGTAACGCTGTAAGGAAGATATCATCTTGTAGGAGAATTCTGGTACCTTTAACAGGTTTTGGTGCATACATGGCCAATCAGCTGTTTGTGATGATCACCAAGGGTCCAGTCACCCCACATATATTCCACTTTAACTGCCATGGAGACATACAATAGAATCCTGGGATTTGTAGTTTGAGGAGGCAATAAAGCTCTCTGAATGCTCTCTCTACTCTGCAAATCCCAGGATCCCATAGGACAATGGTTCTCAACTTGGGAGTCCCCAGATGTTTTTGGCTTTCAACTCCCAGAAATCCTAACAGCTGGTAAACTGGCAGGGATTCCTGGGAGTTGTAGGCCAAAAACATCTGGGGACCCCAGGTTGAGAACCACTGCCATAGGATGTTGCCATGGCAGTTAAAATGGAAAATTGCACTATAGCTGTGTCATGTAAATGATGATGACGACGACAACTTTATTTTTATACCCCAACACCATCTCTCTGAAGCAACTTGGGGTGGCTTACACATGGGACAAAAATGCAAAAACAATAAATTAAAAACAAAAAAATACGATCAAAATAAAACATAGCAAAACATAATCAAATAAAACACAATTAAATAAATACATAGGACAAGATCAAAAGAAAACTGAAAAGCAATATTCATAAGAATGACAGGGAAGTTATTTGGTGTTATGGACAAAGAGCAGAAGCATGCCTCACAACAAAACAGCTGTTTCATAAAGCTTGGTCATAATTATTACTGACCTCTACTTTCACTCTGGTGATTTCCACTTCACACACCACGCCTAGTCACATCAAGTCTTATTAGCCTCACATTTTATGCATCCAAAGGAGACAATTGCCCCCAATGTTGTCATTCTACAATGTTTTGCAAACAAGGGCATTTATATGCCATCTTATGTCCCTTGTTGGGAGAATGGCAGATGCAAATAAATTATTTATTATTATTATTATTATTATTATTATTATTATTTACAGCATTTATATACTGCTTTTCTCACCCCTAGGGGGACTCAAATACACAAAACCTCTCACCATAATTTACCCACTCTTCAAAAAAGAGATATTGCATTTAAAAAGAGAAAGAAGACAGTCTATTTGGTTCACATACAGCCTTGCCTCCAGCCTTTCCAAAAGTCCACGCATTCCATCCCAACCTTGGACTTCATTGGGTTGCCCAGTATGGGAAGCACTACCTGTGTCCCCCCCCCCCCCTACGTTTACAAATAAGATCCTCGAGATAATTATTTTTTGCAAAGACACCAAGTATCTGTGTTGTACTAGTATGTTTCAAATTCTAACAAACGGATGCCTATCGAACATAAGTGATTTCAAGCCAGTAATATTACACAAACAGTAGTGTGGTTACCTTTGTTTCAGTTGAAGCTACATGCAAGGCTACAAAATCCTTTTATCAGAATCACATGACCTACAGAATGGCCATTTTATGCCATCAGAGGTGCCCAAAAAGCTACATAACAAGTCCATGTACATCTACAATGCTGTTCCTATTAGCAGAGGTCAAACAGAGGTCTTTAGCACATGTTTTTGCAATTTAGTCCAGTAGCTAATGATCAACTGTGTGGAAACTAGATCCAAAGTATAAGCAGCACTGAATCTAAGGGCATTTTAGAACACAGCAGATTTTAGAACACTGTAACCTAGAGAAGAGTTTCGCTCCCCAGTTGTGAAGAGTAGCAGTTTCAATTTTACAATGGGAACAACAGACTGAGGAAATGACTTCTCTTCTCAGGTGAACCAGATTAGAAGATGAATAGAAGCAGCTTCAAGAAGAATGAAGTTTACATATTACCAGAAAAAGATTGAAATCTAAGAGTAGAAGTTGGATGAATAGGAGGAACAAAGAAAGTTAGAGGTGGGATGGGGTCCAGTATAAAAACTATGGAAAAGACTGAAACATTTACACAATTTCTGTCAATCTCACTTCATCTTTATAGGATTTTTCTACCTTCAATGAGCATTGGGATTAAGAACTGTCTATAAATTTGCTTATAGTTAGATCCTACTGTATATAATACTCTAAAATCACAAAAACTGCCTGAGTTACAGCAGCCATCAGGCGTAAGAAAGCCAAAGATTCAGGCAAGATATAAATACATTAGGTTTGCCACCGTAAGTTCATTAGCCTTGCTGGAGCCCCCGGTGGCGCAGTGGGTTAAACCCCTGGGCAAGCAGGACTGAAAACAGACAGGTCACAGGTTTGAATCCGGGGAGAGGCGGATGAGCTCCCTCTATCAGCTCCAGCTCCTCATACGGGGACATGAGAGAAGCCTCCCACAAGGATGATAAAAACATCAAATCATCCAGGCATCCCCTGGGCACCGTCCTTGCAGACAGCCAATTCTCTCACACCAGGAGTCACTCCTGACACGACAAAAAAAAAAATAGCCTTGCTACCATGGAGAAACATTTTCCCTTTTTTAAAAAAATGGAAGCATACTAAAGTGATGTGAATGCTGTCATTCCAGGACTTTGGTCAGTCTGTGTGAAAAACTCTGGAACAGAAAAAAAAGTTTTCTTCTATAATGTACACAAAATTGCACAATCTGATTGAAACTGTCAATGCTCCATTTTCAAGCAGCCTTGCAAAAAAGTGATAACCATAAAGGGCAATAAACTAAAGAAGACGGAACATCTCCTGCTAAAATTCTGCAGTTTAAAAAGTTTTTTAAAGGTTTTGTAAGTGAAACAAAAATCTGGCTAATATTACCAATGATCATCTTAAGATGAAAAATATCTAAGATGTTATTCTGAATTCGTCACTTTTGCAGCCATTGATATGAGTTACATAACATTTTAACTTTCCCATGAAACATTCTTTGCCAACATGCAAATGCTTTCAATAAAGCATGCTGCTATTTTTATGCAACACTGTGTGAAGATTTCTGCCATGTCATCCATAGCCAAAGTCCAAGAATAGAAAACAAGACATTTATTTACTGGATTTGCATCCTACCTTTTTTGCAAAATACAGAACTTGAAGTAGCCCTAAGTAAAAATAGAGTAATAATTAGAACATTGGTCTTCCAAGCATGTTATTTTTATAGTTTGGGAAGCAACTGGGGTGCAAACCACAGCACAAGATAATATCTTTCTAATAGGAATGACATCATCCCAGTACATGGAGAATGAAATATTTCAAACCAAAGTACTTACAAAGTTCAGTTTTTCTGGGTGAGGGACTTGCTTTTATCCCCTCCAGTCACATGCAAAGTTTGAAAAACAAACCAGAGCTAAAGAAAACACCTTGTTCAAACCATTCTATGAACTCGGTATCATTCACAAGTCAAGGGATAGTTATTGCTTTAAGTATATGCTATAAGGTTCAAGTTTTCCCTTTTCAAGTCAAATTGAAATCCAAAGAAAGTAAAGCAGAGCAAGTCATCGGTGGACTAACAATAGTCCAGAATACTAACTTCCAAGCAATATTCTTTAGTCATTCTTATTCCTTTCTGCTTTTCTATAAGACCTTCTCAATCCAGATGAAGCACTCGAAATGAAGACAAAGTTGACCATTTGAAGCTTAAAGATACTACTTTGGCAGAAAAGTCTTACCCAGACTGACCGTTCCTACTCTGCCCTTTTCCAGGAGAACCTTCCGATGCAACAGACACAGCAAACAAGGGAGGGAGAGGGAGGGAATGAGCAGACGAAGGGAGAGGGAGTGTGCGCAGTGCACATCAATTTGTTTGTGCCCTAATACAGCTTCGGGGCAAGCCATGGAGCTGAGCTGCTGCCAAATTAGAACAGAAGTTTTTGCTTTGACAGAGAGCATTTCCTTGATTCTTCTTGTATCTGTAACTGATGTGAGGACTGTGAAATCTACCTGTAAAATGCACAATGCTTATTGGGAACTAGATGTTTACCTCTTAAGGTTTAAAACAGAAATGGAGGTTAGTTCAAAGACGACTAATGCACTTGAAAAGCCAAAGAAAGAGATTCTATTTGCCAACCCACCCACTATTCTGCACTCTGTTCACATCAGGCAAAAAATACTAGTGACGATTTTAACAGACACGTATCTATGTATGACTTCAGGAAATGTGACTGAGTAGGAATCTGAAACTAACTATGCTATTCCTGACTTCAGGAGAATGCAGAAAACCTACAAACGATTCTCCATGGATGATGTCTTTGTTCCCATACTTTGCATAGATATGCAAAACTGCGGATAATAGCAAACTCTATTAAAACAAGGCACCTCTGGCTCAGGAATGCCATAGAGTCACACTAGACAACCTAGAAAATGTCTAGGGAGGTCATATTTGGTCAGATGTGGATAAATAAAACTGCACACACAGTAGTCACACAGATAAACCAGTAAACTGCATTCTACACAATTTTCTGCTTGTTATTGTTGTTGTTGATGATGATATTTTTTCATATATATGTATCATATAGCACCCCATGGCCAGGTCTTTTTTTGTTTGTTTTATTCTACTTACTAATAGAAGGAACCAAACAGGAAGCACTGGGCAGTCACTCATTAGTTGTAAATAAACTAGGAAACCTAGGAGTTGTCTGCCTGGAAATTCCTTTAGCTACTAGTTCCAATTGCTCTGTGTTGATATAGGATGATTACAGTGTAAAATTGGAAGTCTTAATATATTGAGCTTCTACTGCCTCATTTCTCTGCATTCATTATTAAATCCAATTTTCAGTTGCAATTATAACACATCACTGACTTATTGGAAACCTAGTAAGACAATCATTACTTAATTCCAATTAAATGAGGAGTATACTCCAAAAAGGAGTGGTTTTGTTGCTGTTATGTGCCTTCAAGTTGTTTCTCACTTATGGCAAAGCTAAGGCCAATCGATCAAAGGGATTTCTTGGAAAGACCTGTTTTGAGTGGGTTGACCTTCACCTTCCTCTGAGGCTGAAGGAGTATGACTTGCACAAGGCCACCCAGTAGGTTACTAAGGCACTAGTAACTGGATTTCAGCCTTATTATTTTCCCTTTTCACACTATTATCTTTGTATTAACAAAAATCACACACTTGGTCTGTAACCCATGCATCTACCAGAGCCCCTAGGGCTGTCCAATTTTGGCCACTGATTCCCCTGGTATAAAAACAGTGGATTACATTATGAAGTCACAGTTCTGCAGAAAATACAGATTTCCTCATTCCCTTGGTATATTTATCCAAAATATTTTTAAATGCTTCTTGTCATTGTAAGAATGGACGTCAAATGAAATGCTCCTAGTTGGCTAATGAAAAACAGGAGATTGTGAAATAGAGTAGCTGAACAATCTTAATGATTTTAGCCTATTTTTGTCTTTAAAATATATGTTTTTAGCTATCTGTCACCATGGTGACTTGTTAGTTCCTCCTCCCCAAAAAGCTTCAGAAAGACAGAAAGTTTTAAAACCACAACTATCTCTTCTATTGGGCTCTACTGCAAGGCTAGTAATGAAGGGTAGGAAGGTATACAACTATATTCCTGAGCTTCCAAAGAGCTGGGGTCCTGAGTTTAAAATACAGTAGAGTCTCACTTATCCAACATAAATAGGCTAGCAGAATGTTGGATAAGCGAAAATGTTGGATAATAAGGAGAGATTAAGGAAAAGCCTATTAAACATCAAATTACATTATGATTTTACAAATTAAGTACCAAAACATCCTATTTTACAACAAATTGACAGAAAAGCAGTTCAATATATGGTAACATTATGTAGTAATTACTGTATTTATGTAATTAGCACCAAAACATCGCAATGTATTGAAACAGCTGTGGATCTGGGCAGGAAACTGACTGTGCTGGATAATACAGAATGCTGGATAAGCGAAGGTTGTATAAGCGAGACTCTACTGTAACTTTTGGGAAAGATATTCAATCTATCAATGACTATCAAAAAAACCCTTACTTTGAGAAACATCTAAATGTAAAAAAAAACCTTATCATTGTCTATGCACCCACAAAACGTAACATACACAATATGCAGATAGAAAATATCAACTTTCAGCAAAAGTCTTGCTTTTCTCGAAGCTAAAGATTTCAATTTATTCATTTTAAACAGAATTCTCAATGCCCCATTTTTTCCCCATCCCCTTGCCTGCACTGTTTCAAAAATAGCTCTGCCCTGTTGGCTATGAAGCTTTTGTCAGTCCAATTTTATGCCTGGTTAAAGGTGAATAGATAAGCACATAGTTCATGGAACAGCCAAGCCAAATGCAATCAATGTCATAGAATATGAACACTCCCTCCCATATAGGCAGAGCTGGGAGGCTGCATCATCTATGTGCTGAAATACATATGTTTATAGAAAACATTGTGGAATGACACCAAGTCTCCTGAGAGCTATTTTTGAAACAGTTCAGGCAAGGAGATGGGGAAAGAAACAAAAATGGCTATCAGATCAAGGTCATTACACCAAGAATCATGTCTGCTTGCAAAAAAAATCCCACAGATTCTTTCATTAAATAAAGGCCTAAAGCACAACCAGATGTAGGAATCCTAGTTGAGTCTGCAAGAAGCAAAGATAAAAGGGAAAAAATTGAAAGATTTCCTGTTTTACTAGGAAAGAAAGGCAGTCCATACCAATCAAAGAATGTCCATATTCTCATGTAGAAAAAAGGGAACAAGGAAGAAAGGGATAAATAAAAACAAAGGAAGCTAACAGGAAGGAGTGTTGCCTCTTGGTACCCTTTTGCAGAATCAACATTTTTATATGAAAATCACTTAGAAGAGGATATTACTCTGACATTTTTGTTGTCTGGATTTTATAATCACTGACCAGCTTTACTTTCACAATAAAACCAACTTGGGAGTCATTTCATTAATCCCAGATTAATTCTGTTTAAATCTGGCCGTGTTCTGCCTCCTAGAGAGGAATAATCTGCATGCCTGCTCAGTTGTTGTTGAACTCTATCAGTTCTAAAAAGCAGAGGGGAGGAAGGGGGAGTGACGATGACAGTGGTTTCTCTTATACTTTTAAAAACAGTTTTTAAAGAGCACCTCAAATGGAACTGTGACTTCCCACAGGAAAGAGTCTATGGTTATAAAGCAGTGGTTCCCAATCTGTGGTCCATGAACCACCAGTGGTCTGCAAGAACTATAGTATGATCCGCGGCCTCACCGTTACTACACCATTGCAATGAGTGACTGACTAGTCTTGCAAAACCCTCTTATAGTGCCGAGGCTTATTAAATATGGTTTTCTGTGGGCGAGCAGATGGCGACTACTAGATGGCATATGTTCTGTATCAAAAACTAGAGCTGATGTGGTCTATCTCAATCAGCACCACAAATAACCAAACTGAATCTAAAGTTCACCAAAAACTGATTTTTAACCCTTTTGGTACTAATGTTGGAGAGTGGTCCCTGGTCAAGAGGTCTCTGATAAAAAAAAAGGTTGGGAACCACTACTATAAAGTAACGAAAATGTACTTTAAAAACAAATAAAGACTAGACATCACACAAGAGTATCCACTGAGGAATCATCTGATTGCTTGACATCTTCTTTTCTTTGGACCTCATCCTAATAAATCTCAAATCTGAGACATGAAGGAAGACATCTGAACTTGTTATCACAGAAGAAATATATATTTAGACATTAGCCTTCTTACCCATCCGCCTTGTTGGATGATATAGTCTGCAGCATAGTCCTCCAGATAGGTCACTCCAAAATTCAGCAGCGCACCAAGGGGCTCTTGGCCTCGTCTGGATAGCTCTACCAGGAATTGCTGAAGAATAACCAGAGGCACTAAAACCTGCAAAAAGCAAAGGTGATGGAAACATGAACAGCTATTACACTTCCCACAATATCAGGATTTTATTTCAGAGTGCTAAATATCCATTATACAAATACGTTAAGAGTTTTATATGCATGTACAAAATGTTGAGACCTAACATTAAGTTCATCTAAAACCTTTATAGACAAGAAGAGCTAAGCAATGCACGGGGGGGGGGGGGGGGGGAAGAACAAGAGGCGGCCCATTTAGAAGATGGGTTTGCTGAAAAATACAGGATTCCTTTAAATGGAGTCCACTGCCATTATATGACCTCCAATTTGTAGTTGGTTTGGGGTCTGGAACATGTGCTTAAGAATAAGATTGGGACGAAGGAATCAGAAAGAATGGTTACTGGTTAATTCATGATCCCACTAGTGTCCAATTTGAGGATGTTGCTCCTGGGGATTGTGCCAAAGAAGGTGCTGGCTGGATATTGCAGTTCAGAGATCTCCATGTACTGGGCCAGGGCATCAAGCTGTCCATCCACTCCTCCGAAGGACATCAGTGTAGAGGTAGGATCCCATTTACAGTTGCAACCCATTTACAGCAACATCCAAGAGATTTGCCGTTTCAGAGCATTACAACAATATGTGCATGGCATGGAATCTAAGACTCAGCCCTTTGTTTTGTCGTCTGGACTAGTCATCAAATGGATAGGACAAGCATTCAATAGATAGGACATTTGAGGTCTTAAGCATAGCATCGCTACATGCAGCCTCTTTGATTTATTGACATGCCATGTTCTGTACATATTCTTTTTCAGATTCTAAGTTGTAGGTGACAAGAGCAGTACGTGTGAAAAAGATCTTGGAGTCCTCGTGGACAACAAGTTAAACATGAGTCAACAATGTGATGTGGCGGCAAAAAAAGCCAATGGGATTTTGGCCTGCATCAATAGGAGCATAGTGTCTAGATCTAGGGAAGTAATGCTACCCCTCTATTCTGCTTTGGTTAGACCACATCTGGAATATTGTGTCCATTCTGGGCACCACAATTCAAGAGAGATATTGACAAGCTGGAATATGTCCAGAGGAGAGCGACTAAAATGATAAAAGGTCTGGAGAACAAGCCCTATGAGGAGCAGCTTAAGGAGCTGGGCATGTTTAGCCTGAAGAAGAGAAGGCTGAGAGGGGATATGATAGCCATGTATAAATATGTGAGAGGAAGCCACAGGGAGGAGGGAGCAAGCTTGTTTTCTGCTTCCCTGGAGACTAGGACGCAGAACAATGGCTTCAAACTACAAGAGAGGAGATTCCATCTGAACATGAGGAAGAACTTCCTGACTGTGAGAGCCGTTCAGCAGTGGAACTCTCTGCCCCGGAGTGTGGTGGAGGCTCCTTCTTTGGAAGCTTTTAAACAGAGGTTGGATGGCCATCTGTCAGGGGTGATTTGAATGCAATATTCCTGCTTCTTGGCAGGGGGTTGGACTGGATGGCCCATGAGGTCTCTTCCAACTCTTTGATTCTATGATTCTAAGGCTTTGTGCTGATCTCTGGCACCAAAATACAGCATGTTAAATCCTCAACCGGCATCTTGTCACAAAGACAAAACAATTTCATTACAACAAGTTCTATTATAGCAACATGTTCTTTGTAAAGGTCTTTTTATAGTCAGTTTACAATATCAATAGAATAAGATATGGTCAGAAGGAGGTGGACAAGCTATTAATGAAATGTAACCAATTTCTTGGCAAGTAAGAATCCTAAATGTATTTGGACAGTTATATCTCTCACTTTCTGTGTAACAGAGTTAAGCAGTGTAAAAACTTTGAACACTTATATAAAGCTGTGTGTTTCTCAGCTTGCTAACCAAATCTGGGGGGGGGGGGGGACCTCCTCCATGAATAGAGTTTTATCTCATCACATACTAAAACACATTAAAAAACCTGAAAAGGTACAAAATGAAATATGCTTTGGACAAGTTCTAGGAACTGTAATTTGTCATATTCCCAAATCACAACTCAATATAACACCTGCAAAAAGAGTCTCATTAAAAAAAATCCACAATGGAGGGGTAGATCATGTAACCACTTCTAGATCTATGGAGTTTGAGAATGACATACACTGCTTTTCAAATTCCTATTTAACACAGTTAATATGACCTGTCCAAGAGCCTGACAGATGGGAATACCATCCCCAAGTACTTAAAATATGACACCTGTACCAACAGTTTCCCATCCATTGTCCATTTCTAAAGTTGAGGTGTTCTGCTAAAAACCTAAGTTTTGTTTTTTCCCCTCATAATTTGCATTATGCACATTTGCCTTACAAAACTTTTTAAACAGCCTTGTAGTTCAATATGTGACATTACCATCATATCAACTGCTTCTCAAGTTCTAAGTAACTAAAGTTGAACCTACAACTATTATTCTGCTTGCAAAAAAGCATCTTTATTCCCTTACTCATTTTTGGTAACAATTTCCTTGTTGGAATTCATCCCCACATTGCTCAAGTCTCAAGTCTTCAACAAGGAGCAATTAGTCAGTTTAGTATAGGCTGAGGGTATTCCTTTCTGACTTCTACCTTCTTACACTTTAGTATGGAGAATATGTGCTGTGTGCTTTGAGGTCTCTCTCTGCTTGTGTGTCAGGAGAGATATAGTGATTGAGTTTTTCCCACTCTTGAAACCTTAGAAGAAATGGGTGTTAGAGTAGCTCAGATCCTGTTCTTTATTATTAAGAAATGCAGTTATTTCTTATTATTGTAAATAAACCTTTTGTGACTTTTAAAGATTGGACTCTGAATGTTTGCCTCCAAAGCTCTGAATTCTTTACAGCCACATCACACGGCACTTCACGTTTTGCTCGCCAGTGATCTGAAAGCTCAACCTTTATTATCCTGTTTGTTTTTGGATGTTCTGCTTTATATTTTAGGGTAGCTTTCCCTAAAATTCCTAAGGTGTGTCATATTAGTTTGCTGAATCAAACCTAATAAAGTGTACTGTAGCATCATATAGACAAACAAATGTATTATTCTCCATGAAGGCTCATACTATAATAAAACTTTTAAGATGCCATATGATTCTGTGATTACGATGCATACTAACACAGGAATTTTCAGTTCTCTTGATTTTCTCTTTTAAGCAATTGAGGATGGAAAAGAACAAAAGAAACTTCTCATTTCCTCTCAAATTCTTCTGTGAAATGTAGTGTTTCAAGAAAAACAACTGTTGGGTAAAACAATTCCAGTGCAGATGGCCTGCATAGATACACCCTGCATGACTGGTTGCAGCAAAAGCAATGTTTCTTTAAAGACCATATACAGAGGATAACACAGAAAAGCTCATTTTCTGCAGCTGTTATATTAGTTCTTGTTAAGATACATGTAAGAGGGCCAACTGATAAAGTGGCTTTTGTATAAATCAATAGTGTCTGCCTTTGAAATCAAGCCATTTGTTCACAATGTACTTTGAAAAGGTTTTTACCCTACAATCACACCATATGATGTGCCAGTACATTTCTTTTTGTATAATTAGAAAATGTCTATCAAATACATTTTGAATGTCGAAACATTTGTAAGATCAGATTCTGTCAAAACTCTTATATAACTTCAACTGTGAAACATCCTTTGGACAACTACAGCCTACAATCTGAGTGGTATTGCCTGTGAAGTGTTTGGACACTACACCTGATTGTGAATGCTGCAGCTATTATTGCTTTTCGATCTATTAGCTACCAATTCAAAGTGTTGAATTTCTCCATCAAAGCACTAGACAGCTTGGACCCAGCAATGTAAAAACCTTAAGAACAATTTGTTCTCATGTGATTTTTCGTGCCTACTGGGATCCTGATGAGGAAGTTGGGCTCCAGATCTGATGTGACCAATACACAGGATAAGACTCCTTTGGCTGACCTGCCTATAACACTATGCAACACTATTTGTTCCTTGGTTATATATCATAAAAACATAGAAAAAGTTTATTAAACTGCAAAAACTGTTTTTACAGGACATCCTGCAGCACATTTTGCTATAGTTTTTCTCATCAAATCTCAACCAATTCAACATTGTTTTTGGGGCTGCCACAAAAACAAAGTTTCTGAAGTAAAATAACTACTTTCAAATTAAGCACAACTAACAGGAAGTAACACTTGTAATAACAGGAACATTTTTTTTCAAATTTTGTTACATAGTGTCATCTAGAATGAATTCCTTTGTGAGGACCATCAAGCTTTTTTTTCTTTAAACGCCATAAAACTAATGAAGACCATCTTGTTTAGGGCAACCTACAATTTAGATTATTTCTGTTGCTTCTAGGAAAGAATTAGCTTTTTTCTATCTGTTATAGACCGTGCTACTGCTATTATTAATTTTATCACCACCTACGCTGAGTTAAGGCATCGCATGTGCCTCTCCACCGCACCAATTTAACCTCCACAACCGATGTTAAACGAATAGATTCTGAGTGGCTCAAAGTCATCCAGTGAGTCCCATCTCTGAATGGGAAAGTGAACTAGGATCTCCCCAAGGCCCTGTTCAGCAGTGCAACCCTAAAGACACTTTCAGTCGACATATTTGTATTGTATTTGGGAGCCCTGTCAGCTGAAAAACAATGCATGGATTTTTTCTAACTAAAGAACTAGAGCCCATGGTGGCGCAGTGGGTTAAACCGCTGACCTGCTGAACTTGCTTACCGAAAGGTCACTGGTTCAAATCCTGGGAGCAAGGGAAGCTCCCACTGTTAGGCCCAGCTTCTGCCAACCTAGCAGTTCGAAAACATGCAAGTGTGAGTAGATCAATCGGTACCACTCAAGTGGGAAGGTAACGGCGCTCCATGCAGTCATGCCAGCCACATAACCTTGGAGGTGTCTACGGACAATGCCAGCTATTTGGCTTAGAAATGGAGAGGAGAACCACTCCCCAGAGTCGGACACAACTATAGACTTTATGTCAAGGGAAAAAATTTACCTTTACCTAAAGCACTGGATGAATGAATAACTCTACAGAGATTTCTTCTGCAAATCAAGACAGAAAAGGAGAGAGGAACGCTGCTCCCAAATATATATTGGGCCTATCCAGTTAAAGACAGGATTGTGACTAGAATGCTGAGGATGATAGGCAGTCAATATGGAGCATATTTCTTGATCTGTAGAACTAACTCAATTAATGGGAAATGGGATTAGCCCTAAAACCCTAAAAGATTCAGCAGTGACAAAACATAGTTTTCCTAAATTTCCTGTGGTAGGAGCACAGCTGAATCTTTTAGGGTTTTAGGGCTAATCCCATTTCCCATTAATTGAGTTAGTTCTACAGATCAAGAAATGTATTTTAATCTTGGAACATTCCATTACACGTTCCCTAGCATTGTTGACAGCTTTGTTAATGTTACTATGCTGGAAGGTGATAATTTGTTGAAGTACAAGTCAGAAATGAATTGCATTAATCTTTGTGCCTTTCTTTTTTAAAAATCCAAGAGTCATCTCCAAAGAGTGATGCAACCACACACCAAATATTAAATGCAGATTTGCTTTTGCAAATGCTCTTCAACTTCTCTCTAAACCCAAATTGAACTTGAACATATCATAATCATGATCATCATGATACACAACAAGATTAGTACACATCAAACAAGATCACTATGCTGGCTTTTGTATTTGATCACACATCAGACACATTCCAAGTATCTGGGACTGTGTGATGTATAGGTGAATAATGTGTGCAGATCATTGTTGTTATTCAAAGCTGCTTCCCTAATATACTTGCAGTTTTACTTCTATGGTAGTAAAGGTAAAAGTTTCCCCTTGACATTAAGTCTAGTCGAGTCTGACTCTGGGGGTGGTGTTCATCTCAATTTCTAAACCGAAGAGCAAGTGTTGTCCGTAGACGCCTCCAAGGCCAGGTGGCAGGCATGTGAATGCATGGAGCACTGTTACCTTCCCATCAAAGCAGTAGTATTGATCTACTCAATTTGCACACGTTCAAACTGCTAGGTTGGCAGAAGTTGGGGCTAACAATGGGAGCTCACCTTGTCCTACCAATTCGAACTGTCGACTTCCAGTCAACAAGTTCTGCAGCTTAGTGGTTTAACTGCACCACAGCAGCCCCACTATGGTACTCTAAAATAGTAACTGTATACAGTGCTCGTGGAAATAATCATTCAGAACCTATTCTAAATCCGTATGAATAATAACATTAATGATCGTTACAACCAAGCCAAAAGTAATTAATTCCAAACAGTGAATATTGTTATTTCTAATGTTTCTATTCAGTCATCACTACTTGTTTTCTTTCCAAAGTTTTTCCAGATGGTAAAATGCTCAGTGGGAGTATTTTATCAGAATTGTATGTACTCTATGTACACTTAATTGATTCCACTTCTGCTGTTTCTGGGGGGAAAACCCCGATTACTGAAAGGTTGCTCCATCATGACTATTGAAATAATGTTTGACACACTTTCAGGCATTAAGAACACACTTTCAGGCATTATTCTGATAGCAAATCATTTCCCCCTTTCTTTTCCTTTCTTTCAGGAAGTTAAAATCAGGATTCTTAGGATATTGATCTGGGCTCATCTTCTATAAGCACAGGCTTGTCGTTAAGCAGATAATAACAGTTTTATACTTGTGTAGATACAAAGCCTAGAAAATATCCTTGCTCTAAATTAATACCTAGTCCAAAGTAGAACAAATTCACTGCATCAACAAAGTTTACTTAAGTATTGACATACCATTCCACATTTGGTTCAAGAGGTATACCTTAATGGGCACTAACAATTAGATGTAGGTCACTATAATATAGAAGAGGCAGATCCATGACTGATTAGAAATGCTTTAAATTGTCATAAATTAATAGCAGATATCTAGTCAATTCAAAGCAAAGTTAGCCAATACCTTGTTCCATCCACTGGCATGAGCAGCTGCTTCCTGCGTCCTTTCCCTGTATTCCTGGTAGGTCACCGGCCTTAAAAAAACAAAATAAAAACAGAAGGGAAGAAGCAAGGAAAGGCATTAAAATAGTGCATATTTCCCATGGTTTCTACCTACTGTCAAACTGGTTATACTAGCAAGCACATCAATGTCAATTTCCTCGTTTTCAGAAACTGATTCAATCTGCCAATAGTATTAGTTCAGATAGCTGGCTAGATTTTTTTTAAAAAATAATCCTTTCTTGAAAACAACTGACAGAATAAATACTGTGCTACTTTGGGAGTTGCTACCCTTTGCCATTTTGAGTTGCTACCAACACTGTATAAAGTGAAGAGAAAGACCAGTGCTAAAAATGTCCCAGGCAGGTGCTTTCCCCACCCTTCACATATGCATGCAAACACATATACTAAGAGAAAATGAATATTAATAAGTTGTATATAATTTTTATTTTAGAGTTTATAGCTATTTAAAGCCATAAAACCAGGCTGAGTTCATGATTTCCATGGCTTCTTATTTGACTGCAGCTTTGGAGGGGTCAGTTAAGTGAAAGTGGCTGTTGATACTTGTAACCCCTCCTCCTCTTCCAAAGAGAAAAAGAAAAGATTTAGAAGTTTCCAAGTTCCAATTTTACTTGATTCTGATTTGTTGTATGGGATGGACCAAATATGATTAACATTAATATGGTTAGTTTTTTTTAAGACGAATTCAAATAATTGTTTCTGATGCTGGTTGGTTACATGTAACCTATAAGGTTCATCACAACACTTGATGCAGAAAAATAAATAAACAGTTAACAATATTATGTTCTTCCTTTGGGGTGCAGCGAATTAGAGGGAATGAAGGCCAGAATTTCCTTAGGAAAGTATGCACAGATGTCCTTGTTCAGATGCTGCAGGGGTTGGTATACCATCCTCCTTCTTCAGTTTCTACAATGTGCCCACCAATTGCTGCCCTATTCCATGGGGTTGCAGACTGCTGCAACCCCATAGACCAGTGGTTCCCAGCATTTGGTCCTCCAGTTGTTTTGGATTTCAACTCCCAGGAATCCCAGCCAATGTATCAGCTGTTAGGAAATGTGGGAGCTGAAGTCCAAATTCAAGACATCAGGAGGACCAAAGGTTGGGAATCACTGCCATAGATGCACAATGATGACATCAGAGGTGAGGTCCTTGGGCATCTTCTGGGGGTCTCAACCCTTTTGTAATTATTATGCATTTGGCTATAGAGAGGTAGCTAGATGCTTCTCTGATCCTGCCTACTTGCTGGAAAATTCAAAACTACTGTGTGGGGCAGCTAATCTAGGGCTTTACGATATGTCAGGGCAGGGTTTATGGCTCAGCATAGCACAGGTCCACATACAGTTATTACTCTACACTCAAGAGATACAGGATCAAGACCATAGGCAGCATGCAAGAACCTTGATTTAGAAGCCTCTTACATTTTCATTGTAACAGTAGATATACTCAGAGAGGTTACGTGCTGCAGCTACATGCATACAATAAAGTACACAGATCTGTTTAAACATTCACTACTCCGTGAAGACTGGTACTATTTTCTTTATCTAAACTGCATTTGCCATCCGTTGGGGACCCCTCCCCCCAGCACCAACGGCCGCTCTGGGCCAGAGCGAAGAGAGGGGAGGCCAGGGGACAGCACCATCTTGTCTCCTGTGCTATTCTAATAATATGTTATAATATAATATATTGTATATACATATAATATTTATAATATTGTAATGTAATGCAATATAATACTAGTAATTGTTTTTAAATGCATAATGATTTTGTATTCTGAATATCTAAACTGTTGTAAACCGCTCTGAGTCGCCTAAGGGCTGAGAAGAGCGGTATACAAATAAAGTAAATAAATAAATAAATAAATAATTTCAAACTATTTGAAACACATTATAATCCTTCTAAGACAAATATAAATAACTCTGGGACTTAGATGTCAATAAGATGTTCTAGTATAATGTATGTGAACACAAAAAAATATTTCATTTCCAAATCCATATTACAAGTGGAGCTTTGTATGCAAATGAATGTTTCAATAGTGGAGACACAGATGGCCCTAAAAGCACTAAGATGTTGCGCTAACTACGACACATTAAATTCAGAAACTCTTTTTGATCTGGATGAGAATTGTGAGGCCCTTTAATTATCTTTCCTCACAATTAGCTATGCTGGGTAGAACTGTTGGGACTTCACAGTCCATTAACTTTATAATGTCTGCTCCTTCTATAGGTAATTATCAGAAAGCTGGAGCAGCCTTGAGAAGCAAAATCAGTATGTCATGGTGATGCCATGCCTTACATGACATGCTTTTTCTCATATATATCACACCAAGTAAAGGCAGAATAGGAAAGCAGATCTGCCTGTCAGCAGGAAAGTATGAATGTAACATGTGAATTATTAGGTAACAGACTGTATACAGACTTAATTATGATGAAAGTAAACACAATGAAATTGCAGAACAGGTTAGTACATGTAGTCCCCAAGTTTGGATAGCAAAGGGAAGGGTTAACACCCTGTGTGTTTGTTTTGCTGTCTGTGCCCATTCAGATTTCATCTCACTTTCTGTCCCTGTAATAATTTGGCTTGTTGTGGAAGCAAGGACTGGTGAGAAAGCTTCAGTTGAGACTCCTTTCCCCCATAACAACAGTTTCGGGAGTGAATTTCCCTTAAAAAGGGCAGATTTCTCTCACTTCTTGTTGTCTTACCCCTGTTCTTAACTATGAATCACTGCCAGTTGGATGTTTGTAACTTGGGACTGCCTGTACTTCCTAATGTAGGTCCCATTAGCTTCAGTTGGCCAAACTAAATGCAACTCACTGAATGAGGATTTCCAAAAGCACATTAAATTTATAATACAAGATGTGTGTTGAAATTCTATGTACTTACCTATTTCTAATTTAACAAGTAGAAAATCATGGTGATCTACAAATACCAACATGCATACAATATTTAACTATAATATACAGTGGAAATATTTAGTGCCAACTGGCATTACAGTTGCTGCAATTTTTGTTTTTTGCCCCATGGAATTTTTTTTTTAATTCTGGTACCGATTATCCTTCCTGTGTATTCTTGAAACCAATTGATTGCTTCATATTTAGCTGTTTTTCTAATTTTCAATCTCTAGATCTTTCAGGACAATGCCTCCTAAAAGCACTAAATGCATGTATCAATCCCAACTTAACATTAATTGGGTTTCCTTGACTACTAAACCTGGCCACTGTACTGGGTACACAATAGTGGAAGACCCTTGTATTATCATGTATAAAAGATGCATGCCTTCAGAAGAAGGCATGACCCTAATTTATCAAAGATTTATTTATTTATTACCTTCTTTACATTCTTGGACAACATGCTACATGATAGTCAATTCATACAAAACAAGGTTACACTACAAAATAAATTACAACTTGCTGTGACATATGCCACAGAGAACACTGATTAAGCTCAGATGACTTTTGTCACCCAAGATCATTTAAAGCAGAAGACCAGAAATTCATAAGGATGCACATAAATAATTAAGCAATTAGACACGGAACTGGAGGTATTTATTTTTTGCAGTACAAATATTCACTAATCTTATTTAATGTGACTGAAGATACATATTTATAATGTATATAAAAAGTAAAGTAAAGGTTCTAGTCGTATCCGACTCTGGGGGTTGGTGCTCATCTCCATTTCTAAGCCGAAGAGCCGGATTTATCCATTGAGATCATCAAGGTCATGTGGACATCATCACTGCTTCTACTTTCCCATAAAAGCAGTACTTATTGATCTACTCACATTTGCATGTTTTTGAACTTCTAAGTTGGCAGGAGCTGGGCTAACAGCGGGAGCTCACCCCACTCCCTGGATTCGAACCGCCGACCTTTTGATCAGCAAATTCAGCTGCTCAGAGGTTTACCCCACTGTGCCACCAGGGTGCCATAATGTATATAGAATTAGTTTAAATATAGTAACCCCAATTATTTCTTAATCAAAATATCAAGTTATCTAGAAAATATCAAAAGTATTCTCCAGAACTGCATTTTCCCCATTCATTGACATTTCTACAATCTCACCTTGGGAAAATAATTCCCCACTCTTTCTCACACAAGCAAAACAAACTAAAATAAAAACAATGTAATAAAAAACTCTGCCCAGCATATGACTATATATATTCCTGTTACAATTCTATCCTGGCATTCAATTACAGGCCAGTTTTGGGAACCAATTTCAGCAAAAAAAAAAAATGGTTTGAAAACAATAAAATAAACACTCTCCCTCAAGGCAATGCACAACAAACTGAATTTAAAGCAATATCCAAAGAAGACAATCTAAGCTGGATCGAAAATATTTCTATAAATGAAGCATTTTGAGCTGATAATAAAAATAATACATCGAGGGAGGCAGTGGCTCTTAGGAAAGTAGAAAACAAATTTTGTTTTGAGAGTTACACAGAAACAAACATATTGAAGTAGAAAGCTTTCATGTGGGTCACTCCATACCTTTTTCTTCCATTTATATTCATTTTATGTTTATTTTAGAAACTGATAAGAAATAGTTAACAAATTTGCCACAGTGTATCCATTGTGTATGTGTGTGTAATTTTCAGGCAACGATCAACCCAAAACCACACAAAAGCTCCCGAAACACATATCAAGGCCTCAAAAGGCCTCTAATAAAATAGAAATCTGCAGAGGTACCCCTTTCCCCAAAATTTCTCTGTTTCCATTTGTATTGTTACCAAAATGGCAAACAAAGATTACACAATATTACTTTCCATTCACCATTTTAGGAAAGATATGGGAGAATGTGACCTATAGAGGAAATCAAGGGGTTCTTCCCTTCCCCTCTCCTCCAACAGTTGCCCACTCCCCTCTAAAATAAGTTTCCAATCTTCCGTTTACCAGGGGCAAGCAGACAGGCTCTCTGGGCAAGTACTTAATCTATAAACAAACAAAGATGACGAATTAGGTCTGACTACACCACACCGAAGTGCATAGTTCACATTTCCTTTCTGGGTTTAGAATTGAACCCAATCAATAAGTCAAACATGCAGCCCGTGACAGAAGATCTCATTGGAGATGTACATAAAACATGAATTTGCTAGAGTGCTTGGTATTAGGTCAGCCAGCATTTTTGGTATCATGGGGCATTCTCTCTTCTGTATGAATGAAATAAAGTAAACATGAAAAGGACCTCACAAAAGAAACTGGCATTCTTAGAAAGGCAATCAAGTCAGTTGAAAAAAAGTTTATATTGTGATTGTAAACAGTGCATAATATAGACATAATAATAATAATAATAATAATAATAATAATAATAATAATAATTTATTTATATCCTGCCACTATCTCCTGGAAGGGACTTGGGGTGGCTTACAAAAGCATTTAGTAGTGCAACAAAAATACATAAAATTCAATAAAGTGCATGAGCATATAAAACAATAATATACATTTCATAAACTAAAACATCATATAAAACGCCTATTAGTTTAAATGTAAAACGCAGCAATAAAACGCAGCAGCGGCTGCAGATATAAAAAAGCTGTATTCAGTAGCAGTCACACAAGGTGCCAGAGTGAGACAAATCAACAGGTCCTCAAGTTTTAACGCTGGAGATTCTATTCCTGTTTGAAGGCCTGTTTGAAGAGCCAAGTTTTCAAGTTAGTCTGAAAACACTGGAGTGTGGAGGCTGACCTAAGTTCCATGATCAGATTAAGAACAGCAAAAATCTAACGAAGCAAGCAATAGTTGTGCTCTTTTGCCTATTTGTTTTGATTTACTTATAAACATACTTAACTTGACTAAGTGCTACTGTAATTTGAAAGAGCTAGTTTATAGAATAAGTTTTAATGTTTATATTGGAAAGTGTAGACTGTACTTTTAAAAGTTGTATAATATGTGAAGTCATGGCCTAAGGTTAGTACACTAAAGAACTCATTCATTCACCCTTGACTTGACTAAGTGCTGAAAGGTCATTTGCCTTTCTTCTTTTTAGAATATGTTTATGTGACAAATTTAAAACACAGAACTGTCCATGCTTACAGGTTCCTATTATAAATATATGGAGTTTGTAGCTTTCTTATTATTGGTTTGAGTACTTCACTTAAAATGAACCAAACCTGACAACAGAATTGTCATAAAGTCAGATTTATGCCAAATGTTGACAATGTCAGAAATGATTTGCTGGTGGAACAACTTATACACCTCACTATCCCTTAAAATCTAAGCTGCCATTCTCAGCTTCTGATACAAAACAGAAGCAATCTTCAATAAAACTAGAAGTGTGATCACTTGCTATCACTTGTATAGACAAATGATTTTGTCTCCATTTTTACTGAGCAAGCTGTAAAAAGAAAGAAAGAAAGGATTTTTCCAGATGAGATTTTCCCTGAATATGTCTGGGTTGCTATATACTGCTGCATTACATGTAGTACTGTGAGGTAAAATGCAACTGATTTGATAAAACCGATGCAATTTTATAAGAGACAGCAACTGCGAAATTGTCAAGCCAGTTATCTTACCCTACAGACACAACAAAATGCCAGCACTTGGTTTTACAAGAATATCCTAGTTCTGTGTATTCATTTGGAATTAATTTCCTATCTCATGTCAACATTGAAGGCCTATTCCTCAAAGTGGAAAAAAAGCAGACTGACTTACATTAAACACGTTTCTGTGCTACCTCAACGCAATTTCTCTATTACTTCCTATTTGTCCCTCTTATTAAAGACCAGGAGCGCTCCCACTATGAAAATGGGGAAGTATTTCCAATAGCAGAGGTGCACCCAAGATATGTTTTGTCAACATCTGGGGTACCTAGAATATAGAGATATCAGTATTAGCCCTGTGGCATTGCAAGTTTTCCACAATTTGGATAAAGAATCCTAACATAACCATTATTTAATATGCAAAAATACTTGATTCCATCTTATTTTGCTAGGCATTCATAACTATTGGCAGACAAGTGGGTCTGATTCATGATGATGGATCTATGTTCACAAGGTTTATATGAAAAAAAAAACCAAACCAAAAACCTCAGTGATGGAAAACTACTATCTCATTCTACATTCCAACAGATGAGTACATACTTAGGCAAGGAAAATGAATCAGGTTGAAAATTTGTATCAAAGTTCATTCGTATCATCAGTATTATTGTTAACTGTGAGAAAGAGCAAGTACCTTCCTGCTGAGCAAAGCAAATGAGAACTCACTTGCTAAGTAGGGTCTCTAGTGCCTTTTGAAGAGGTTCTTTCAAGTCTTTAAATACTTTATCTCCAAGATGAGCTAAGCAATCTTCAATGGAGGTCTCTGGGTTGGCAGGACTGAATACGGGGGATGTGTGGCAATCAAAGCCAGTGCTGGTGAAAGCTGCAGACAAAGAGATCATCAGTTTTATAACAATTTCATATTATTAACAAGAGGGGATCTTTCTTACACACACTTATTTATATCAGCATTTAAATGGTTTTAATCCTACATAAAGCATAATACTATTTTAATCATATACTATACATTCTTAATATATTTTAATTACACATTACCCATTGGCCTTTTTATTTTGTGGGCTGCCTTGAACCACATTTTTAAGAAAATCTATAGCATAAGTTGTTGGGATTCAACCCCACACAGTCCAAGTCTCACGTCCTCAATTAGGAGAAGTTAGCTTAGAATAGGCTGAGGGTTTCCCTTCCCCCATGTCTCCTGTATGACAGTTGGAATTTATCTAATTTCTTATCTCCTTTCTCTTTTCTGCTCTCATTCTGATTGTTTCACTTTTCTACTGCAAGCCTTTACTTTGACTTTAGCTTTTTACCTCTTGGAGTTGCTGTGTGCTTTGAGATCTCTCTCTGTTTGTGTGTCAGAGAGATGTAGTGACATCTCCCTTTAAACCTTAGAAGAGATGGGTGTTAGAGTAGTTCACACCCAGTTCTAAGACATTGAGAAATGTCATTATTCCTTTTAATGTAAATAACCCTTTTGCGATTCTGAAGACTGGACTCTGCATTTTTGCCTGCCTAAGCTCTTATTTATTTACAGCCACATCACACGGTACTTCATGCTCTGCATGCTGTGAGCTGATGCTCAACTTTTAGTATCCTGTTTATATTTTTGGATGCTCTGCTTTATTTTTAGGTAGTTTCCTTAACATAAATAAAGGAATAGAACAGAATAGAATTTATCTGAAGAGCATTAATGTTCAGCTGTGTGCCTTCCCTCTGAAGATAAGGATTCAAGTAACATAATAATTTTAAGGAACCATAGCAGTCCAGAAAGAAAATACATCAATTTGAACAAACCTTCCAAAATTTCTTCATCGAGACGTCTCAACTCCTCCTCAATTTCTGCTTTAATTTTTTCTAGAACCTCCTTTTCTAAAGCTTGTGGGACCACAGTCGGCTCCATCACTGAAATAAGCCAAAGGATTCCACTAAAATTAATGATCTTTTGGAAAAGCATCATGAGAAGAAAAGAAATACCCAGTACATAGTAACCACTATTGTGCCAACAAAGAAAAGAGCTTTTTTCCCACAAAAATAAGAGCACAAAAGAATCCTGGTCATATTCTCAAGCACCGAATCTATTTTAAAAAAACTTATGGCAAACATAGTAAATTTAAGGTTGCAAGCCACACACTTACCTGAGTATAAATAATGTCTCGTGAGTAGACATGAACAAAACTGTAGAATAAAAATCGCATTTTAAAAAAAATCTTGCTCTTTCCTTTTTGCCCTCAATCCCAGCAAATGTGGAGGGCTAATTGTCACAGTCCTATACTTTTAGGTAAATTATGTTTTGTAGTATATTGAGCCAATTTGTTCATTGGAAGTTCTTGACACTTATGTAGAGAAGTAAAATCAGGAAAATACATTTCTCATTACCAGTAATCACAATATTGCACTTCTGTATCTCAAAATCAATTTCGTTTCCCTCTCTTTTCAGAATGTATATGCTAACATTCTCATGAGTTTGTTTGCAAATTCATTTTTTTTTCTTTTACATACTTCAATTTTCTCCACCTCATTCACCATTATAATCAATAACTCTCTCTGTAGAGGTTAATCTATTTTCCAATTACAGTCTTCAAAGGGGACTATAGCATAGCATTGAGCCATGGCAGCTGAAGTAGTGTCAAACTGCATCAATTCTACCATGCAGATGCACTCTTATTCTGCTTTCTTTGTATCTCATTTAAAATCAATGTAATCTTCTCTTACCCTTTTAAACATCACTACTACATTGAATAAAGCCTCATCCCATCTGAAGGCCACCTCTTATTCTTATTAAAATATTTGTGGGCCATTTGTTTAACTTTTGGAAGGATCCAATTAAAGGTAATAATCAAAGAGTTTTATTTAACCTTTTTAATGCTAGTGAGCTTGCAAAAAGATAATTCTGAAATTTTCATTCCTCTTTATTAGATTCTTACATACTACTATTGTACTATTGTATTTCCTTTTGATTAGACTACTAATATGATTGAATTTAGGTGTACAGGCAGTTCCCAAATTATGAACAAGGTATGTTCTGTAGATTTGTTCTTGAGTTGAACTTATATGTATGTCAGAACAGGTACATTTTTAAAGTGTAATTCCAGCCATATACATACATACATACATACATACATACATACATACATACATACATATATATATATACACACACACACACACGTATATGTGTGTGTATGTGTGTGTGTGTGTGTGTGTGTGTGTGTGTGTGTATGAGCAGCCCCAAACAATTCTGGTTTCGGTTTTTAAAATGGTCTTACCTCTTTCTAGAGGAACCCATGGAGGAGGAGATAGTGCCACAATGGCGCTGCCAAACTCACACCATTGTGTTTTTAGCCATAGCCAGACGGCTGTTTACCAGTGTGGCTGAGGTAAGTGCCACTTCCTGATTTCCCAATGGGTCTATATGGCAGTGTGTGTGTGTGTGTGTGTGTGTGTGTGTGTGTGTGTGTACATTGGATAGTATAGGGAAGGGTGAACACCCCTGTGGTGTTTGTTTTGCTGTCTGTGCCCAAGTTCAGAAGATTTCACCTCACCTTCTGTCTCAGTGATCATTGGATTTTGAAAAATATTGGATTGTTGTGGAAGAAAGGATTGCTGATAAAGCTTCAGCGGAGACACCTATTCCCCATGATAACTATTCCAGGAGTGAATGTCCCTTCTTATGAGTAGATTTCTCTCACTTTCTGTTTTCTCACCTTCATTCTTAACCGAGTCATTTGTAAGTTAGATATTTGTAACTTGGGGACTGTCTGTAATAATTTTTTTCATTTCTAAAAATGATATTGCATGGAACACAATAGACGGATTAGCATGGCACACCCACTCTACAGCATGTCAAATTCCATGGGTTCATTTATCCATTAGCATCCAACAGTAAAGGCAAATAAGGTAATGTTTAAGTGGTGCAAATATTAAACCCCTTTGCACTTATTTCAGTGCCAGTATACTTAAGTTCTATTTCCAATCCTCTTTCTCCGCTTAATCCCCCTTTTAAAGCCAACACCCAAATGAACTAAACTGGCCAGCTTTTTTTAAATGGAAGTCCAAATCCATTAGAAAGGTACAGCAATCCTCTTAATCATGGATAGGCACCTTATGGCCCCTCCAGATGTTGTTTGGAAAAATACCCTAAAACTCTCAAGCACTGCTAACTCAACTAACTGCAAAAATCACATTACAGAGAATAGGCATTTTCTCTGGAACATAGAGGAACTTGTTTTCTCTGTAATATCTTCTAGTTGGAAAGGCTAAAAATTAGTTCTACGAATAATAGTTTGAAAACTGAAAATTCAAGTTGAAATTCTTCAGTTAGTGAAATATCTACCCTGCTCAACTGAGAAAGAAGTCATTCAGAAAAACATATTTTCTCTACAAAGCAAGCATGATGGTGATGATAAATGATGGGCTGTCATACCCAGGGAGAAATCAAGCTGAAAAAAATGCAGAAGGAAACGGAAATCCTTTCTGTATGTAAGAATTCTGTTTATATAACTACTGTTGTCCTGTCACTGCTTTCTCATTTAATTATGAACTCTGCATTCAGACAGCAACTGAATGTTTAACAGTACAACATCCCAAATGGTATAATGGTTTGATACTAGACTTTGACTCTGTAGACCAGGCTTCGAATCAAATTCAGCCACGAAAACCCACTGGGTGACCTTGGCCATCTCACTCTCTCTGCCTCAGAGGAGGGCAATGGCCTTCCACCTTCTGCAGTATCTAATGATGAAACTGAGCTCCATTCAATGTATCAATTTAGAGTATAGTAGGCCCTTTGTATCTGCTGGAGTTCAGTTAAAGGACCCAACCGCCATGGATAACAACACCTATAGATGGTTAGAGCCCATTATGGATAATGGTATACTAAAATAGTATTTATTCTTTCCATAAAATGGCAAAATCAAGTTTTACTTTTTGGAAAGGGTGAGAGGGAATATTTACACAGCGTGGATGGTTGACTCTATAGATAAAGAATCCATGAATACAGAGGGTCAATTGTACTTTGTTTTCAACAGATGATGATATCATCTAGGACAAGGTTGAATCCATGTCGTGGTAGAATTTTAAGTCTAAGAATCCAGAAATCCTCCCTTTTGTCCAAAATGCTTGGAAAAAAAATGGCACCTCAGTACCAAATCAGAGAGGTTCTGAGTTGAAATGCTTGGCAACTGGTTTCTCCAGCTTCTGACCAGAATGCTCTTGCTATTGCACTCTCTGTGGCCTCGGATTTCAGGAGTGGGGTCGTGAGTAATCACTGCCACCTGATTCTACCATCTGCGCATTCACACAGCAGCCCTATTTTTAAAGCTAATTCTTGCTTTTATTATGATCCACTCAGTAAGCTAGGTATGAGCTAAGTGCATTTTGAGTCTGCATGACATTAAATGGATTGAGGTTCAAAGATCGATTTTAATACCATAACCTGCATTATACTAACTAAGTTTGGCAAAAAGGGAGAAGACATCTTAATCACTTTTCTCTAAAATGTCTTGTTTCTAGAACATTAAATTGTATAAAACTAAGTCCTACAAATTTTAACATTTTGAAATATATAAAATATATAGACATCAAATTTAGCTAACTGGATTGTCTATGTGCAGTGTGTATATATTTACCTTGAGTTGTCAGGCTGTCCTGCCTCTGAGGCTTTTCTTGGGACAAGAGACCCAAATAGCTGAGGATAACATATTTTGTTTCATAGTGAAATCCTACAGGCACAGCAGTAGAGGATGCCATCTGTTTGGTTTCTAATGTTCCACAGGATTATGGGCCACCAAACCGCTTTTGTTCCAATCTAAAGATTGAAAGATTGACACTTTATTACAAAATTAAAAATAACAATCTGAATATACAAGCAATTGCAAAAAATAAAAAAGCTCCAATGCATACCCAAATTTTACTAAAATAGTTCATTATCAACATACAGAAACATTTCGCAGTGAGACATAAACATGTGAAAGAGAAATCCAAACATCATAGTAAGCTGTATGGCCATTTAAAAAAAATGCTCACAACTGTATAAGTTGGATCCGCCAGTCATTGTTTACATGGATGTATGCAATCCTCTTAAAAATCCATTCAAGTTCAGAGTCATCATTACACGTTGTAGTTGTGAACCACAGAATTTAATTATGCACTGTGTTGTACTTGTTTTCATTTATCTTGTATCTCTTAACTATTCAATTTCAGTGGATAACCCCAGGCTCTAGCATTATGAGAAGCTTCTTCTTTACTTTTCCCACACACCCAATTACACACACACACACATCCAGCATGTCTACCCTTACTTGTTTTATTCTAAGCCAGAGTTTCTCAAACTGTGCTCCTTCAAATGTATTGGACTTCAGCTCCCACAATTCCTAACAGCTTGTAAACTGGATGGGATTTCTGGGAGCTGAAGTCCAAAACACCTGGAGGAGCACAGTTTGAGGAACATTGTTTGAAGCGAAAGAGCCCCAACTGTTATTCAACACAGGAATGCTGTTACAGTCCTGAGATCATTCTAGTTGCTGTTTTCTATACCTTTTCCAACTCAACAATACACTATTTTAGGTAGAGTGAACAGAACTGCATATAGATGTGGTTTGCATTATGGATTTCAGGGTAGTACGATATTAACCCTTTTCAGACTGAATTCTTTTTCCTTGCTGGATGCTTTCCTGTGAGAATTATGTCTGCATTCAGGAAGGGGAGCACAGTTTTGTTTCCGGCATATTAAAGAGAGTCGTGTAGAGGTTTGGGGCCACATTTCCCATGGATACAGTTGGTTAGTGGAGAGTATTGTGCAAGGAGCTCCAGGTCTCACAGGAGATGTAGAAGCAACTGGAAGATTGTAGCCATTCCTTTGCCCACAAGGCACACGGGGCCATACTGATCTGCCCTTAGAGATGCTACTGATGGATGCCAGAATAGTCCATAATAAAATCTCACTCATCTGCTACATTAAATGGATGACGGGAGCTGTAGTGCAAAAACACCTGGATGACCAGTTGTCCAGCCCTGCATCAAAAATGAGATGGATGACCCAGTTTGTCAAGAGCTAAGCACATAAGCAGAGTTGGCCTGATCTCAGCCTGCTGTACTTACCTTAATATCTAATGAACTAGTCCAGATTGAGAATTTGGGGAACTTCAGTACAAATAGCTCCAAATTAAAAAAAAATCCATCTGGGCACGAGACATAGTAGACTCTACTATACCTGGTGTTGCGCCACAGAGCCAGAATCAAAACGATCCGAACGCAAATGTCTGCCCTGGCAGAAGATATCTCCAGCTTGGTTTTGGAGAAACCCAGGAAATTAATCTCACCACTTCATCACACAGGGGTAAATTGGCCCCTTGCTCCTTTTCGGGGATGGGGCCCGCCAAGTGCCATCACATGATGCAGGCCATGCACTGCCCCATTGATGGCCGAAGTGGCAAGGAAGCAACGCAAGATGCTTCCTAACCAACAACGGGAGGTAAGATGCGTTTTGGGTAGCTCAAACGGAGCTACCTGTGTTTTCAGGCCTTTTCCCCATCTGAGGGGGGGGGGGGGGGGGGGGGGGGGAGATGGCAATGCATGTTGCCACCCTTGCCCCTGTCTGATGGGAGCAATGTGCCTTGTCCTAATACCCCCGTGTGATGGCGGAAGGGGGGAGGGTGCACAGATTGCCACAAGGCATGATGCGGACCTTCCCTTAACCTTCTGTTCACTGGTGAAACGGAATTAGGGGCCCATCAATATGATGAGGTCCCTAGAAGACTTCAATGATAATTCTGGGGCAACTGAGACCAGGTTTTCATGACATCACAGCCTCTAGAGATAACAGGATATAATCCAGATCTTTTTCCTCCCCAAAGACAAACTAAGCAGGTCTGATGGGGGAATGAAGCAAGCCATATGTTGGGTTTCCATTATTAATCCTTTCTGCAGGAGACAGGGTCTTGTTAAACTGTTTCACTCCTAGAAAGTTATGGAACCTAAACTATCTGAATGCTCTGGGAGATTTTCCAATGTGCAAGACTGGTGCCTTAGTCAAGGCCTTGATATAGAATGGAGAAATGAATAGTTCTATTGACCAAGTTGCATTAAACTATCTTATTTGACCATAAGAGGCCTGGAAGACTTCTTGGCTTTCTGTGAACCGACAATCAATGTAGTAGTAGGCTAAATGATGACAGAAGCAAAAGTGACACAAATCTCTTGGCAAACACAACTGAACACTTGAGAGTGTATAATCCTGCCTGCTATGTGGCACCAGCAAAGAAGACTTTCTTCTCTGCTTCCTATGGGTAGTTAACCACCCAGTAGAACTGCATCAAATAGTGACTGGACTACGGACATCCAGCTTACATAGAATAACACCGCAATGAGTCGCCCTTGGGCTGAGAATTGCGGTATATAAGAGCAGTAAATAAATAAATAAATAAATAAATAAATAAATAAATAAAATAACAACATATTACATCAACATCTGCTGTAAAGGTTTTATAGGACACTTTGAGAGCAAAAGTACTAATAACTATTCTGAACTTGACACCGTAACTGAGAGAAATCCAGTTATATAATAATGTTGATGATAATGATGGCACTGAAAATATTGTTTGATCAATGTTTGTAAGATCAGTTTAATGTTGTGAACTGGAGATGTGGGCAGATGATTTGAGTCAGATATTCCATTTCCTTCACAGTTGCCTTTCATGACTATTAGACTCTATTTGAAAGAGATGGAATGGATGAACTCAAGAAACAGTTAATACCTTATAATGAAAAGAAAATGTTGATATATTACATTATGCTGCACCTCTTCCTGAAGGGGATATCCCTGAATTAGGAGGTATTTGATATCAGATGTGAATAGTGGAAGAAAAATTGTACACATGTCAGAATGAAACACTTTCTCCACCCCTTCCTATTCAGATACAGGCCTGGACACAATACTGAAAATGCCTGTGTTAACCTGGCCAATTATCTTTATCAAAAGAGAGACGGGGAGGGCTACTTTATTAATTCTGCCTGATGTCTCAATAGCATTTGATACTATTGACTATGATATCCTTCAGTAATTTTATGGCATTATGTTATATCAGTTCAATAGTGACCTATATGAAAGTAGTCCCAGGAGAACTGATGCTTGGTCCTACGGCAATTGTGATGTGGAGATCTCACATCATTCCAGTTGGTTTTTGATGTCATTTCACACCTACATGAAACTACTAGAGCCATCCAGAGATTTAGAATAAACTGGCCCCCTATTTGTGGAAATTGCCCAGTTCTTTTAATCTCTCTCTCCCCTCTTACATACTTAACAAAAATGGCACTACCAATATATCTCACTTTATTCACAGTGATCAACAGGGGAAACACCTGTTGGTGGTGTCACCTGTTGGTGGTGCCCATCATGTTGGTGGGCAAAACCCAAGGAAAGTTCATAAATGATACTCCCTCTCAAATGTCCACTTGGCAAATGACCATTTGTCATTACTTTGAAACATTTCTTTTTTACCAGGCCTTTGATAACTAAGGCTGCTGGATAAAGTTGTGGTAGTTGTTTCTGTTATAATATTTTTGAATTAAGTATTTATGACTTCATAATTCATTAGGCTTATATCCACCTTTTTACTATACAGAATCCAAGGTAGCCTAACAAGATATACACATTTTTATATACTGTTTTATTGCCATTTTAGAATTTCTGTTCCTCTTCACTTATTTAATATTCTACCTTCCAGTGAAAACCAGGGCTGAAGGCATCTACAATTACTTTCACACAGGACAGGAAAAGAGGGCGAACACCCCTTTGTCCTATTCCCCAAAGCTCTTTCCACTGATTCACCCTGCTATTAGCACCCCAGTACAAAAACAACACCAGGAGTTGCTACACATGATCAGATTTTTTTTCAACATTGGACATGATTAGTTTAACTTCCATAATTCGCTACCAGTACCCTTCGGGAAACCCCACCTCTTCTCATATTGTTGAGGATGCTTGGAATCCTTTGCAGGCGGTTTCCCATGCTCAACTCCCTTGCTGCCACATTTATTGCAACTATGAATCACGTACAAAATAATAACGAGAAGCACTTCTAAGATATTGACATCTTATCTCAGAATTGATACATTACTGAAATAGTCTGTGCCAAATACTTTCAATACTTATTGCATAGCCTATTACAATATTGGTTCTGGGATGAAATAACAGTATTACTGTAGATATCTAAATGGCACTCGCCATTTCTGGATGAGGAGGGATTTGGGATAAGAATCAATGAATGATTTTCACAGGATACCTGTGCTTCTGCCAAAATAAGCAACTTATCCACCTCCTGCACTCTAAAAACGTACTCCAGAAGATTCGGAAACCTTCATAGGCTGTTCTTTATAAATTAGATGTGGAGGTCTATGATAAAAGTTAGGGAAAATAACCTTTCCCCCTATTCTCCCTGGACAAAATTTCAATTTATTGGAGAGTTGTATGTAAAATCTTGTGGAATGTAGTAAAAAGCCCAAGACTAAATATTTTCTCTCTCTAAATGGGGTAACTGATTTTTAAAATATTTTAGCCACTCTATTAGTAGATACACAGTTTGAAGATATGTATGTACGAGGGTAGCTACAGAATTAGAGAAGCATGGATTCTGTGCATAAACATATTCAATAGTTAGATTCAAAATGCATTTTTGTACACAGTGGGCAGTGACATTTTCCATGAGAAGCACACATGGATGGTGCCTTACACCTGATGAGACATTATTGAACAATTTGGTATTTTCAACGCTGAGTTAAGCTTCCTATCTAAATGGGCTGCTAACC